CTTCCACCAAACTGCGGCGACTAGCAGAAACTTACGATCTACATCAGCTCGTAAATGTTCCCACCCATGACACACATCTATTAGATCTGGTATTTACAAGCAATCGTAATCTGATAAAAAATCTCCGAGTTCGCTCCCCTTTCTCTACATCAGACCACTCCTCCATCTCATTTCAGCTACGTAAATATCATGGCAGAAGCTCCTCTCAAAAATTCTTGCTCGATTTCCTTCATGCAGACTATGATGAGATAATTGCCGATCTGCTTAGAGTAGACTGGCGCAATATCATTCAAAGTACACTCTCAGCAGACCAGTGTTATCAGGTCTTTGTTGAATACTGTCATGAACTAATAAAAAAATTTGTACCCAAAATCAAAATTGATCGAGAACACACTTTTTGCATATCCAAGGAAAATTCAAAAACTGGAAGCTAAAGTTTCTAGATTATACCAAGCTAGACATAAGATTGGACTACAAAAATACCGCAGGTTTTCCGCCAAGCTAAAGCGTGAATTGGCTCTTTACAGGATTTCCGAAGAAGAAATCGTTGCATGTAGTCGCAACATCAAAACTTTTTACCGCTTCTGCAATCAAAATCTGAAAGTTACGAACAGTATCGGCACTATATATAATTCATTCGGTGACGTTTGTAAAACTGATAAAGACAAGGCTGAAGCATTTGCCGCCTTTTTCAAAACTGTTTACAAAAAACCTTCGAATTCTGCAGTTGAATGTCCACAATTCACAAACGCTAAAATCGACTTTTTAGACATTACTGGTGACACCGTATACCAAGCCTTGAAGAAATTACCTCTTAGAAAATCTACGTCTCCTGATGAACTTCCTTATGTTTTTCTGAGAAAAGCTTCTCTTGGAATTTCTCCTGCCCTTACTCTTTTGTTTCAAAGATTTCTGCTTCTCGGAGAAATTCCAGAATTGTGGCGTACTGCAATCGTGAAACCTATCTTCAAAAAAGGCAACAAATCTCAACCAAAAAATTATAGACCAGTCTGCTTGACATCCTCAGTGAGCAAGGTTTTTGAGAGGATAATTTGCAAAGAAATCTATAGGTACCTTGAGAGTAACCATTTGATACATTCAGTTCAACATGGATTTCTTCCCAAAAGATCTACACTGACAGCTCTCATTTCGACAATTCCCATGTGGCAGAAAGTAATTAATGAAAAAGGATTTGTTACTGTCTGCTACATAGACTACACAAAAGCTTTTGACTCCGTCCCACTGAATCTACTTTTTGCCAAACTAAAAGCATATGGAATAGAAGGTTGTCTCCTAAAATTTCTCAAAGCCTTTCTGCTTAACCGTACTCAGCAAGTTTCAGTCAATAAATCTTTCTCCTCTACCTACCAAACAAACAGCGGTGTTCCTCAAGGAACCTGTTTGGGACCACTCCTATTTTTACTTTATATAAATGATTTACCTCTATGTCTACCCAGTAACATCTTCTGCTCCATCTATGCCGATGATACGAAACTCTTCTGCTATAATGCACCTGAATTAATGCAAAAAGCTTTAGATGCGGTGGAGGATTGGTCAGTCAAATGGGAGCTTGATATTTCGGTTGAAAAGACATGTATCATGTTTGTTGGAGCCAAACATCCCCGATTTCACAATTTTTACTTGAAAAATCAAAAAGTTCGGGTGACAAATCTCATCAAAGATCTCGGTGTCACCTATTCTGATAACCTCAACTTTGAGCACTACATAGAAGAGCTTGCTAGAATAGCTCATGCTAGGTGTAATTACATACTACATGCCTTTCGAACCACAAAAGTTGAAACTCTTTTCCAACTCTTCTCTACCTATGTTCGACCATTACTAGAGTACTGCACTCCTGTATGGTCTCCCTCTACAAAGAGAATGATAAATACCCTGGAAAGAGTACAGAAATCATATACCGCACGAATATTTGCGAGAGTAGGGCTGTTTCGATTATCTTACAAATCGCGACTTTCCATGCTTGCTGCTTCCTCACTTTCACTGAGAAGAGAAATTTATGACCAAAACCTTGTCTACAAAATTATAACCAAGAAAATCAACCTTGCAATGCAAGATTTCTTCGTATTTTCTAATTTCAACAATATCACCAGAGGACACGAACTCAGACTCACAGTGGGAAAAGTACGCACACAACAGTTTCACGATTCTTTCTTGGTACGTATCATCAGAACATGGAACGTTCTCCCTGAGAATGCTGTCAAAACTACATCTGTATTCGTATTCAACAGAGAAGTTCTAAAGAGTTTGAGACTCAAAGGATATTTTTGATAACGTTATTTACAGGATACTGATTATACTCCATTCGATGAATTCAATCAATGTTACAACAGAATGACGATGTACTACTGCAAAATATTTGCATCTATTTTCATTTTTATCTTTCTTCTATTCAAGTGTTCTCAAAATCACATTTATGACTAAACATTATCATTCTCTATTTATCCATCATCTTTTTTCCAAAAATATCTATATATTCAGAGTTTTATCTCCATGCATTACCATAAATGGCGAATTATTTTTTTTCTCTCTAAATCTTGGTGTTCTATTGAAAATCATATCTTATCGGGTCACGTCAGCTAGCCTTTACCCGCAGGCTCGCTGGCACTCTAAAAATGGGATATTATACATTTTCAAAAGGCTCCGAGATTTCAAAGTCGATCACTCTTGTTAACATGTGTCTATCTGTCTCTTTATGTTATCGACTATATCTGGATAAATAAATAAATAAAAATTGCAAAGTTTGGTCCAGATGGGTTTTTTAGCATGCTGATTACGAAAATGATAGTCTCAAGTTTTAATATCGCCTTCTTACATCAGTTTCTTGATTCTTACGAAAATTCTACCGTACTGCTACCGTAGTCTCACTGTGGGAAGATAGTGAACAAAGTGGACCCTCTAATCGTGATCAGCACGTGAAATAGCCCCAAAACACAATTTTATATGGAAATCCATGATGTTGAATTCGCACAGAATGACTACCGTAATCTTACCACATTTTGCCAAATCTGAAATAAATCATATTTTGGTAATCAGCGCCTTCGATATTGTGGGGAAATTCTCTGAAACATGTTTTGAATTTCTTCCAAGAAGACTACCATTTCGGACTAAACGACCCACGTTTGGGTCGTAAGTGTTTAATATAGCGAAAAAGGCTCTGGTCCGAAACGGCAGTAATCGAAAAATCGGCCTTCATGAATTTGAATTCGTCCATTAGTTTTATCGATTTTATCGATTTTTTGCAAAGTTTGAGCTGGGAGTTGGCACAGAGCCGTAGTCGAGCAAGCTGATTACGAATATAATATTAGTTTTTAGAATTACCAACTACTTTTATCGATTTTATCGGACTTTTTTTTGAAAAGTCTGAGCTACGGGGCTCAGAGTTGGCACAGGGATAATCGGGCATGCTGATTTCTAAAACAACGGGAATAGGGAAATGGAATGCAAACGTGGGCACAGAGAACGATTATACAGAAAATTAATGCTAACTCATAGTACCATCTTGGTAGTCTCAAATTCCGAAAAATTATGATGTGTGATGCGATTGTGGCTGAGGTGGGCCTGCCAAGATCCGATAGTTCTGTTAGAAAATCTAAAAAAATATTACGGCGAGCTGCAAGGAAGAGAAAAAAGTAGTACTTATTCTATAAGGTTTACTCTATCGAATCGTTACTTGGACTCCTTCTAAGGATTGATATGAAAGTTGTGAAAAATCGTGAAACTTCACCATCTCAAAAAGCATGGGTCGCAGATTTTGGTCATTTTCTGAAAGGTCATTAGATATGCTGCAATCTTATATATAAAGTTGAATGTCTGTCTGTATGTATGTCTGTCTGTACGTATGTGCGGAGTAGAAATTTTTATTTCTGGACCGATTTGGACCAAACTTGGCACACATATACTTCGGGGCAGGGAGCGTGTCATAGGCTACTTTTCGTTATCGATCGATATCGATTTTATCAATTTTTTGCAAAATTTGAGCTAGGGGGCTGGGATTTTGCACAGCGGGGTAATCGAGCATGCTGATCACCCCGGAGGGGTTGATCAGCATGCTCGATTACCCCTCTGTGCAAAATCCTAGCCCCCGCCCCCTAGCTCAAATTTTGCAAAAAATCGGTAAAATCGACATCGATCGATAACGAAAAGTGGACTATGACACGCTCCCTGCCCCGAAGTGTATGTGTGCAAAGTTTGGTCCCGGGCGGAGCCGGGTTTGCCATCTAGTAATATCATAATCATTAGAAAGAGGACTATACGAATTTCGCAACTCGTATTATCTTTCTTTGCCCTAAATTGCGGGGATTATCTGCATTTGTATGTGGTTGAGTAATACTTTGCCAGTTGTACGGCAAAGATGAATTTAGCAGCTTGCATCGTTTTTGTTATTGGAAGAATTCGCAGATGTTCGCGTCAGATGTGAATTGCTTAGGTTTTTAGCTAACAGTAGGATGTCGCGCGCAGCTGTGGCTTGATATGTGATCACGCATATAAGTAGCTGACTGTGCACAGTCAGAGTTATTCACATGTACGACTCTTGCTCATTTGTTTTAACATTATTTCACTCGTATATTTGTGCCTTCTTTCAATCATATCATTTTTATTTGTAGTTCATCATTTAGTAATGTATTTTGTTATTTGTTCTACCCGTGCTTGTTGTTATCTGTTTAATCGTGTTTATTGTTGCTATTTTGTTGCCAAGATAAAGTTTAATTACCCAAGTTTGAGGTGTGCTCGTGCGTATACGAAGTCCCGCGTGGCAGTACTTTTGGTTGTGGTTTGGTATTCGAAGTCTTATAGTTCTGATATATCCCCACCACTAACCAATACAAGTGGTGCATCGACCACATCAAGAGGTACCTTTTATTGCAGAAGATAAAGTGTGTCTCGCTTGCTTTGCACGATACGCTTTGATTGTTGCACGATAGTGGATCACCTGCACATACTGGACTTGCACAGAATTTCTTTTTGCCTGCACTTCCAAAATGACAACTACAGTAAGAGCGTACAAGGGACTTATGACCAAAAGAAGCCAAGTCGCTCTGGCATGGTTGGAAGAATCCACACAGCGTCTTCAACACCTGAAGGAAGAAAGCACACAACAAGAACAAGTCAAGGAATTCACAATGACTGTGGCGAGGTGCGACGAGTATCTGGAACTTCTCGAAGCATCCTTAACCAAACTCACGGAAGCCTTCGATAAACTTCAGGATACCACAGACGAAGAAGAAGATCAGTTAGACAAGCACGCGGAGATTGCTCAAGAGACTATCATGAAGTTATACGCACACAAATCCAATACCAAGCAGATGCTACAAGAAATAACGACGGCAGCTACGCTCCGAACAAGTGGAACCGACCACCAATGTTCTGCAGCAGTCAGCAAACTTCCAACTATACCTATCCCAAGCTTCACAGGAAAGAAATGGGAATGGGACAACTTCTGGGCCATATTCAAAGCCAACGTACACGACCAGGATCTAACGAAATTGCAAAAATTCAACTATTTACTGTCAGCCCTGAGTGGGGAGGCGAAGCAATCGATCTCACGATTCTTCGTATCAGCAGACAATTACGAAAAAGCCATACAGCACTTGGCGAAACGCTATGGCAACAAGGATGGCATTATTCTGGAACTGAACAAAAGCCTACACAACTGCTTGGCAAGAGGACCCACCACCGCAGATCAGCGTCAATTATGGGACAAACTTTCAACTATCGCAGCGCAACTAGAAGAACACGAGCAACACCTCAGCAATCAAATAACAATCCAAATCTTTCTCCAGAAGTTCCACTTACGCATCAGGAAAGCAGCTATGGAGAAAAGACTCAAACACAAAGGAGAAAGCAACAGCGAGTGGACATTGGAACAATGGCTCGACGCCGTCGATGACATCATATCACAAGAGGAGCAGATAAACCACATGCTCTCGTGCGAAACACAAGCAAGAAATCATCCAAATCCCAACACGATGGCGACGAAAACACCCCCAGGACCAACCGGCAGATGGAAACCAAGCAACCTTTGTGAATGCTGTGGAGGTAACGGACACAGGTGGATGAATTGTTCGCAAATTCCTACAGCAGCACAGAAAAAAAGTTTTTTGCTTGACACTGGCAGATGTCTCAACTGCGGATCGATTGATCACAGAGTATCGTCATGTGCGAGCAGCAACTGCCGAAAATGCAACAAGAAACATCACACAGCGATATGCTCGGGGAAGACGCCTGACGAACTAACGCGCAGAAGGCTACGGCACAGTGAGCAAGAGAAGCTAGATTCTGGGGAAACACCCAGGAACCAATTCAAAACGGCGGCAAGACCTTGCAGTTCTTCAAAACAATACGCGTTGACGGAGGCAAGTGGACGAGAAGTTCAAGACACGACACAAGAGGCAACGGAAGATCCCGAACAAGACAATCCGTCAGTACTACTGCTCAGGGGAAAGCTACATATTGATAACTTGTCTAACTCGTCTTTGGACAACGAAGCTACGGAGAAGACAGTGGTACCTACAGGGACACCCGTCGTGAACGAGCTGGAACCGCAAGCCGACTCAAACGCGCCATTGTCATCGCCTACCTCCCACAATGTGCAACCTCCATCTAAGAGACCACCAGTTGTGATCGCTGGTGCAACAGTATCAAAGGACAAGTTTTCGCCGTCAAGCTCAGACGCTAATTTCTACATGCACCCGTCAGTCCACGCAACTTCCGCGGAAGCACATATGAAGCCTGCTGTCGTGAAATCTCTTTTCAGCCATACCGACATCAATGATGATACTCCGTCTACAAAATTTACTGCAGAATCCGATGCTTTCACAGCAAGCCCATACTTGAGCCTGAACGTATTTGCTTTGATGAATGAAGTCCAAATGATACACAAAGCATGGGAAGAGTTTCTGGACTTCAAAGAAAATGTCAAACGACAGCAGCAGGAGATTCTACAATCGATACAAAGGATGAACCAGCACCTCGAAATCCTCAAAGCATGGAACATGAAGGATGGAACCGACGTCATTCGCCAGAAAATCCCGTCAAAACTGGCCAAGAAGAAAAAAGCATACGTGCGAAGGCGAAACAAGAGCAGTAGTGAAGAAAAGAAAAAGAGCATCCCAGCGGCTCCTACACTATCACAGAAAAAAGAAGAAAGCATAAGAAGCTGTACAAAACCCAAGAGAAGGCATACAAAAGAAATTTCCCATGATGAAGAAAGAAAACAAAAGATTATCGCACAACGACAGCGACAGATGAGGACAACTGAGCAGAATCCCAACCATCTCTCTTGCACAGGAAGACCCGACGTAAACGTGAATTGCAAAGGATCTCGCAAACAGCGTTCAGATGCTTGCTCGAAGTTGCGCACTGGTACAAGAAGAGACGTTCAACACAGAAAGACACCCCGTAACCGATGTGTCGAAGTCCGTCATAGTGAGGACCGCACAGGTCGACGCTCGTGTTTCTACTGCAGAAACACCAGAGGCAACGCTGTCGTGTTGAACCACCATACTACCACCTGCAGGCTGTTTGGAGACATTGCCCATAAGCAACGGAATCTTATGCGTCAAGCGAAGACGTTCAAGAACAACATGAAGTTGAAATCCGAAAGCACACAGATGAGGAGGGAGAAGAAAGGCACAGAATGGAATGCGAAGAAAAGAAGACCGAAGACGAACGGTACAACCCAGACCCAGTTAACTTGATCACTCTTGGCGAGGCCGGAGTATACGAATTTCGCAACTCGTATTATCTTTCTTTGCCCTAAATTGCGGGGATTATCTGCATTTGTATGTGGTTGAGTAATACTTTGCCAGTTGTACGGCAAAGATGAATTTAGCAGCTTGCATCGTTTTTGTTATTGGAAGAATTCGCAGATGTTCGCGTCAGATGTGAATTGCTTAGGTTTTTAGCTAACAGTAGGATGTCGCGCGCAGCTGTGGCTTGATATGTGATCACGCATATAAGTAGCTGACTGTGCACAGTCAGAGTTATTCACATGTACGACTCTTGCTCATTTGTTTTAACATTATTTCACTCGTATATTTGTGCCTTCTTTCAATCATATCATTTTTATTTGTAGTTCATCATTTAGTAATGTATTTTGTTATTTGTTCTACCCGTGCTTGTTGTTATCTGTTTAATCGTGTTTATTGTTGCTATTTTGTTGCCAAGATAAAGTTTAATTACCCAAGTTTGAGGTGTGCTCGTGCGTATACGAAGTCCCGCGTGGCAGTACTTTTGGTTGTGGTTTGGTATTCGAAGTCTTATAGTTCTGATATATCCCCACCACTAACCAATACAAGGACGAAATTCTACACCAAACGCCTCCAAGATCTTTTAGGAACCTTTGTTCCATCACATGTGGCGTCCGTTTGAAAAAAGCGAAATTACTTTCGGAATGACCTAATTTTGACAGGCAAAAAAATTCAGGAAATTTTAGGCTTGAAGCAGAAAGTTTTTCTAGGTTCCCCCTGAAGCTAGTTTGACGTAACCAGTACCATCACTTGACTTCTTGATCTTCTTCTCATGCAATCTTTTGCTTCAACGTGCAAAGATTAATCATTGATTGAAGCATCTAAGACTAAACAGCAGTAGAAGAGCTGCAGCACAAATGTGCTCTTAGACAAAGCTTCGCGGACGCATTTCATCAAAATTGAAAACGTGCTGACATGATACATATATTGAGTTCGTACATGATTGCATTCCAACACAGCTGACATCTATTTAGAGCAATGCATTTATGTATGCGAGTGCAATGAAAACTCCCACTACATGAGGGACCAAAAAATAAAAAAAGGAAAAAAAAGAAAAGCAGAAACATTAAGGATATGTAAAATAGATTGAACTATGCAACTATTGAACGTATGTTTTTTCTCACTGTCAGCTAAAGGCATTAAATACACGATATTAGGTTGCCTTTTATAAACGTTTTTTATTATTTTCTAAAGAGGAGTTTTATCTTTTTCTGCGTAGGTTTCAACCAGTAGCGTACCTAGAATTTCGTTCAGGGAGAGGAAAGCGACAAAAGTTTTATCGTGATGAAAGTGCGTGACGCCAGCCACGCACTCCGAAAAATTTTTTGGTATGCCTCCATTTTCGGGGGCCCCTAACCCCGAATTTTCGAAAAAGAGGACGTGGCGCCAACACTTTCGAACAATTTATTTCTCAAGGCTGAATTGAATTTTTGAGAAATTTCAAAAAATATTTCAATTATTCACAAGCATGCACAAGTCATTTGCACGTTTTTGTAACTTACGTACGTAACTTTCAAAAATTTTGGGACCTATTCTCGAGGAGAAGAAGGCCTCCATACGCCACTAGTTCTAGTTAACATTCGATAGAGCAAACCTCTACAAGATTATTCAAACATTTACACAGAGTTCGTCTAACATAGTTCGAATCCGAGAAGTGAAAGCATCCAATTACCTAAGATATGAAGAACATTGGATCCTGTTTAAAAGAGTCCACGGAAATCGTGGTTGTTCCACACATATACTCTTTAGATCTGACATTTATCTGTACCTTAGTTTTTTTGCGGAATCCAGATTATCAATTTTCACGTTTTTGTCAAAATCTTTGGTTGTTGCATAGGTATTTTATAAAATAAAAAAAATAAAAAAATAAAAACATGACTACGGATTCTCGCAAAAGCACGTATAAATCCCAGTATGTATAGTATACTCCTAAAGCAATGCGAAATTCCCTAAAACTTTCTTAAAGGTCAAAGTTGATTTTTTCTCGATTTTTCAAGCATTTAGCTTCTTTTGATTTCTATTTGATTTTCGCATGAAACAAGCTTTGTGCAACTGTTCGGTTCAAATTTAGTAGGTTGTTTGCTCCATCGAAAGTTACCATAAACCTTACAGTACCCACACTAACACTCGACAGAAAACGCGTAAGCTGACCATCCGCGTTTTATATCGTTTTTCTTCATACTTACTTCAGCCAGTCTAACTCGTAATCTTGCTATGGTACCTTATACGGTGTTTTGGTGACAATGCGAATACAACTGTTTTGATAGCTACAAAAACAGGAAAGAAGATTTGAACTCATCACCGTTGTAAATTTTTTGATGCACAATTTGCATTGATTGGTACTTTGGTATTTTCGTCTCAGAGTATTCAAGTGAATTATTGAGCTCGACATACAGAGTTGTGTCATGTTTTCGCCGTTGTTTAAGCAAGTCTCCTTTCTCTTTTTTGTTAGGTCATATTCTTCTTGCTCACTCAATACAGCGCCCAAACCATTCCACAGAAAACTGACCATTCGCGTCTTTTATGTTTTTTCTTCATAACTTACTTCAGATCGCAAGAAATGGGAGTTCGAGAAAAGCATAATGCTCAGTTTGTTAGGTAAATTTTCTATATCTTTCCCTCTATAAAAAGAGTCTTCGTTCCTGTTTCTGTAGTAATTAGAACAGTTGCATTCATATTGGCGGTAAAGCACCGTAGTACCGTAGCAAGGTTATAAGTAAGTCTTGCTTAGGAATAAATGATTTTGTTTTAGATAAAAAGTAAGAAGCGAATTTGGCTGCATATAGCTATGAGAATGGTGACTAAGAAAATGGAATTTGAAAATCACACTGTGCGAGCTACTGTAAGCAGGAACATAAAATTGCTCGTGAAATCTGGCTTCAGTGTCCAAACAGGCATTTCTATATACACAAGATGGGCCATGCCAAGCTGAGTCGAATGGTGCCCTTGGATTAAAAATCCGTCCACTTTGAAGCGAGATGTGGCCACGCTACGGTGATGTCACATGAATCAGGCGAGTGTGTTTTTTCCTCAAAAATTACGAGCGGTATGATAGGTAGTAAGCTCGATTTTTGGACGCAAACCAAAGATTTTTTAGTCTCAGTAGGGTCACGTACTATCGGAGCAAGTAGAGTCGGATATTGCAAAATCTGCAAAAAAGAAGGGTTTAGCGCAGCTTCAGAACTTTATTTGCATAAGTTTAAGGGTTTACTGATTGCAAAGTGAGCCTTTTCGTACTCGATAAAACAACTAGTTATTGTCCTTCGTTTGATAATTATCGTAGAATCACAGCAAATTTACTGAGCTCCAACTTTCTGTAGTTGTCACCATTCTGACCAAAAAAACAACCTAAATCAATGCCCTTCGTTTGCATTCGAAATTGTTCTGTATGCGAATAGATAAATTAGCAGAGTGTACAGCCTAATCATGAAGCAAGTTGCAACAGGTTATATTTTTTCTAGCCAGGTTTAGATCGGTTGTACAACATATTTACTCTACGATTTTAAGCTCACAAGTTAAAGGCAGGGTCAAGCGTGGGGTGCGGCACGCCACACCTGGGGGGTCGTATTGAGGAGTCAAAAGGGGAGGGGGTCGTAGTTGGGTAATCTGATAATAGTAATAACATGATATTCGTATCATATCCATAATTAGCATGTCAATTAACCCCTGTAGACAAAGTGTGAGCGAATTCTGAAGATTCAAAATACTAGGCTACCTAAATGAAATAGTCAAATTCCAACATGGTTAACTTTGTTTCAAAGGTGAATTAGCTATCCGTTTTTGCACTCAAGACAAAGCACTACTCCTTCTTTGTCCACCTCAGGAATCCCGCTTCAGAAGACCTGCAAACTGTGGAATTAGAAGCCAACCAAATTCTCGTTTTTCCCAGTTTTCGCTTTTGATCGCTGTGCTTTCACCAAATATTACTCAGAGCTAAGAAGACGAATCAGGCTCCAAACAGTCCTATGGAATCTACAAGGTTTAGGCTATCGATTCATATAAACATTGTCCGCTAAAAATGTTTTTTTGATATAGTTAATGGGGTGCGGCACACCCCCTTAAGTTGCCTTCAAAATCCAGAAAGCGCTCCATTGCTGGTATGAGTATTGAGTACATAGCTTCTTCTTGCTACATTGGAAATTTGGAGCCGAACGCCCCACCCATAAGAAAATTATAGCCCTTTCAATGTGCCCATTCAGATCAAAATCAGCCGTCAAATTACGTGTGATTGTAAAGTGCAGTCACAGAAAATCGGGCGTACAGCTCTCAGAAATCTGAAAACTCCCTAGAAAAAGATGTTGTCCTCCAGAATGTCACACTTTGAGGCCCAGAGGTTAAGAGGAGGAAGAAGGGGTCGTTTGAGGGCTTTCATGGGGGGGGGGGGAGGGGGTTTCGAAGGACTTGTGCCTGACCTCTTTCTCAACTCTGGTAATGCAATCTTAGGTATATAGTTCAGGGGGGGGTCTTTAAGACAACAATCAGGGGGGGGGGGGGCGTAACCAGCGATCGTGTGCCACACCCCTTGCTTGACCCTGGTTAAAGGGCAGAAATCGATGTGGCCAACCCAAACAAGCTGCATAGTCAGATCAGCACGAAACGCTGAATTCAATTCTGCATTCCGTATCTGCCTAGCACCTATGTGAGCGAAGTTATGATTTGTTAAATGCCTTTATTTTGCAAGAAAACGTGCATTCAAGCGCAATTTTGGCACTACGGGCCATATTCGGCCTAATGCTGGGCCAAAACATGCAGCTAGACTACTTTACATTCTTAAAGCCTAAAGGTGAACCAAAAGTGCAATTTGAGCGCAATTTCGCAATTTATGTACGATTTTTTCACAATATTACCCTTAGCTTCCTCTAGAAAGGCGCTAAGCAGATACGAAATACAGATTCAAACAGCGTTGAATGCTGCATTAAGCAGCTCTTGCTTAGTTTGGCCTAACTTCT